AATTAGTCAGGAAATATGTAAGGAAATGTAAAAATAAAGTAAATAATGATAGTAGCGATAGGGATAATAACAATAATAATGATAATGATAATAGTGATAATAATAATAATAATATTAATGACGACACCAACAATAAAGAATCTAAATCATCAGTAGTAATTCCATACAAGGAAGGAACCTCGGAAGCCTTACGCAGAATTCTCAACAAGGCAGGAATAAAAACGGCATTCAAACCCACAAACTCAATTAGAAACAAGCTTTGTCGGCTAAAGGATCCTGTAGAGCCTTTAAAACAAAACAATTTAGTTTATCTAATACCCTGCTGAAATGATTGTCAGGTCGAATACATAGGTCAAACTAGTAGAACAGGGGCAGTCAGACTAGCTGAACATAATTTTGTAATCATTATTTCTGTATTTATCAATTGAGCTTGGAAAAAAGTATGTTGCTTGACTGAATTTGATAACTTCTTCAACCTATGACTGAAATCATCAGTTGATTTCAGTCAGTTTTAATTATCAGTTCACTAAACTGAATCTATATAGACTCCCGAGAGGACGTTTCATTCAACGGAATAAAACAAATGCGAATGAGAGTATTATGTTGACACAACCTATAAAAATGCAAACAGTATAGTAAGAAACTGCCAGGATTATTCTAGTAAAATATTAGGTATTATCTCAGGTTCAGATAAATTACACTCTCGAAAGATGATATTATAAAATGCAGAAATAGTTGAGATACAAATTATTAAGGTTTTGAAACGAATGTTCAGCAGTTTCGTACTTCCTCTGAGATAATATAAAAAGGAGTAACCCTCTTGATCTACAGCTTTTTGACCGTGTAATTCAAGTCGCCTTGAGTCTTGCAGAAAATATGACTCACTCTTTTTACCATTGTCACGCAGATATCTGATATTCCTTCCAATACCTTGTACTGTAATTGTAAACGTGCTTAGAAAACCCTTGTTTTCCTAAAACATCTTTGTTCCTTATGAGTGCTACGCATGATGAAACAATATACTTCAAATATGAATTATGATGTGAATAAAAAGCTAATTGCATAATATTTAAATGAACTTTTAATCGAATACACAGTAGGCACCAAGTTTAAATAATTATATTTTAAGATGGAGGTTTTATTGCACTGGGATTCTCACCACTTCCATTTTTTCACCAGCTTCACCGGCTTTTGCTCTTTGTTAAAACTGTGAATATTTGTAGCTTAGAGGGATAAGATTAATAATAAAGTGGGCAATACAAACTTTTCTTCTGATTATGACAGAAATTATTGTTATTCCCTTAGGTTCTGAGTGGCACATAGGGCTTAAACAAAACATCCCCAATTTGTTCTATTTTATGCCATCATCTTCAGCTGGGTCTACGATTATCCAAAATCTCTCATCTCTTCCTGACACGATCTCCTCCTTGTCACCCTCGCATTGACGACCCACTCGTCGTTTCCCGTTGACATTCCACTCTAGCGATGGCCTGGCGCGCGATGTTATTCGACGGCCTCCTCAATGTATGACCTATCCAGAAACAGAAACTTCTGCACGATGAATCTCCTTGAGCCAAAAGAAAAAGTCTATGTGGGGACATGGAATGTCCGCACCATGTACGAGATCGGCAAAGCTGCCCAGATCGCAAAAGTAATGAAAAGATACGGAATTCAAGTACTGGGGATATGCGAAAGTAGATGGAAAGGGAATGGACTCACCAAATTGTCAACGAGTGAGTCAGTGATCTACTCCGGTTACCCAGAGGATAACCACATGCACACCGAGGCGTGGCTATCATGATGTCACGGCAACGAAGGCCCTGATGCAATGGGAGGCGATCTCGCCCAGGATAATAATAATAATCCATCTCCATTCTCTCCTACATATTCGTTGATTAATCGGCTGTTAGTTGGTTTGTTCCCAGAGTTTTCTGTTACTAGTTCTTTCTGGCCATTTGATCTTCAGTATGGAACCAGTGAAGGCAGCTGTTGATGAGTCTGCAACCTGTCGGAAATCCTTTTCATAACAAGCAGTGCAAGTTTCTAACTCGTATAGAAGGATCGACTTGACATTGGCGTTGAAAATCCGAATATGGTTGTTTATGTTGACTGAGTTTTGGAGATTTCCGAACTGGTTTCAGGTTGATGAAGGGGTATCTCGCCTTTCGATTCTGACTTTGACATCTTCAACCGTTCCTCATGTAGTTAAAATGATGTTTCCTAGATAAGCGAAGGAGGTAACCTCAGTTAAATCTCTCCCGTCAATGGTGATTGGTGCTGATTGTTGTTGTTGCTGCAGTTCGTTGGTTATCTTCATCACCTCCGTCTCTCATATTTTCGCCTGCAGTCCTGTTTACACTGCACTGCTTCTTCAGCTAGTTTGCTGGTTTCCACCTGCAAGTCTTCGAGTTTGCGTGACATTAGACATATGTCATCTGCGAAATCCAGATCTTCTAGAGTCTTCTTATTGGTCCAAAGTATTCCTGTCTTCTCACTCCCCACAGTATGATGCATAATTCAGTTCACTACAGTTAAGAATATCATCGCTGATAATAGGCAGTCTGTTTTGTCTTACTCCTGCATTCACTTGAAACACCTCCCTGAGTTTTCCATTGCGGATCACCTGACATGTGGCACTGTCATATAGTGAGCTGTTGAATGAGGTTGATAAAAATTTGAGCACTGGATGCCATGGTGTCGAAGTAGTTTCCAAATTACTTCTCAGTTGACGCTGTCTGTCGAAGACCTTTTAGAAATCGACGAAGCTGAGGTAGAGGTTTGACTGCCGGCATTCTATGTTTTGTTCTGTGATGACGATGCATAGAGTTGCAATTTGATCAGCACATGATTTGCCTTTCCTGAATCCAAATTGTTCCGGTGAGCGGAGTTCTGTATCCAGTACATCCTTTATTCTATCCCGGATGATGCGACTTAATATTTTACTTTGCGTGGACAAGAGCATTATTCCACGCTAGTTCTTGCAGAGTCAGGCGTAAGTCGCCCTTGTTTGGTAGCTTGACAAGGTGGCATTTCTTCCAATCTGTAGGTACCTTTCCTTCTTTCCAAACCTTTGGCAATAATGGTGTGAGCGCATATGCCATAGGTTTCAACTATTCATCCATAGACATTTGAGGATGAAATTATCAGAAAGCTAATTTTTACTTTCTTGAAATCAGTATTTCGCAGGTAAGGTAAGTAGTAAACATTTCCACTTAAAAAGAATAAAACTGCAAAAGTCGAAAGAACTATTTTCTTCTCTTTATATGGAAAGTCAACTATTCCATTTGGTTTTCTCAAAGCTTTTATTTATACAGACATTCAGATAAAACATTTAAGCGAGATTTACAAAGAAATATTATCTGACAAAAGCTGAAGTGAACACGTCATTATTACATTACCAGCTTGTTTTTACCCAACATCAATTAAATGAATGAATTGATAGAGATAGCCATGTACTACTGTCTGGCGAAAGTATAGTTAAAGTACATGTACTCATCTTGAACAAAAGTATAATGTTATTCATTAGCATGCGCTTACCAATCACTAGTTATTAATTCTCGATGACATCTATTGTCCTAGAAAAGTATGTTAATTAAAAACACTCCTGTAAATCAAAGTCAATGAAAACCAGTCAATAGGACAATTTCCTAACACCAACAATTAATGCAAAACGAATACAGTAAAGTCATACAGGAAATCATGACAGCTCAAAAACAGCAGAATCAAATCATAAAAGTAAATTCTTCACATGTAAGCTACAAAATCCGAACATCATTGAATTGATGCGTATGAAAAGACTGAAAACCTGGTTACATGTCGGACCCAGACCAACAATTTTATTTCACTAGATATTATTTATTTCGCGCATTGGTCTCTTTCGCAGGAAAAATAACTTAGTAGTATGTGAACACAAATCTCTGCACATATTTTGTTTAAGACACATCAACCAAATTTGCACTAAACTCATAAATTCTCTGTCCCTCTAAGAAGACAACTTTTAAAAATTATATATGGTCATGTGGAGTTTTAAAAGAAAAAGTGTCCAGCAAGGAGTTACTCTTTTTAGTGATAACGCGGAGATTTTCAACATTTAAATTCCATGGTAAAATGTGTGCTCAAATACAAACGCATGCAACTGACTCTATATTTCTGTCTAATTAAATTTTTACTATAGACTTCCATCCAAGTTGTCTTGAACTAGGTGAAGTGTTTATAACATTATTAACCTCTTTTTTAAGCTAAACGTACTCATCAACTATCTTTTAGGCTTCTCATTGTAAGTACTATCCACACTTCAGCATTTTTCGTTATTCGTTCATAAAACTCTGTGGCTTGACGTTTGGTGTTCATTTTCTAGATTGATAAATTTGTCTCAGACGTAATGTTTGATAGGTTGTTTGTTTTTGGACATCTATTATTTGTTGATATTTCTTGATCCAATCCATTATCGGATCAAGAAATATCAACAAATAATAGATGTCCAAAAAGAAAAACTAGAGAAAACCCTCAATCAGGAACACCTGTCAACGCTGATCACCGCAATTACATTGTCAAGTAGAAAACACAGAGAACAAAGACGAAGAGTCCTCAAAACCAAGCTAGCCAAGATTAGAAAACAACAACCGGACAATACACCTATAGACTGCGTAGTTAACCTATCAAAACAACCACTATCAAAAATGGAACAACAACTACTACAAAAAGGATTAAACTACAACACCGGAGATGCCTCGAAAACTGATTTCTTCGCTGCCCTTGAATCATTACTCAAATCATCAAACTTAAAGGAGGAAACACAGGAGGAGGCTGTTTGTTTCTTAAGTGTTTAAGTATATTTAGTCTTGTTCACTACTCAAAGTCTCTGACAGTCACTAAATATCGTCTTTTCAATACTAGCACCTATATAGACGCTTATAAGATGATCGTGTGATGACTGCAGTAACCCACGTTATCATTTCAAATACCTTTGCTATTTTTTTTTTACTTAACTCACGTTTTAGTGATCTTCTGAAGGATGCATTCGTTCAAGCACTACTGAAACAAACAAATTCTGAATCTATAATGAGAACCAAACGACTGATTGTTACAGAAGCCGACAGTAAGTAGTTTTTGAGGTAGCATCACTTTACTACCGAAATTCTTGTTTTACTTCTTTATCTCTACTCAGTGTACTACACATAACTGTCATACTGGTGTCCTCTTTTCGCCTTTACATTAATCGATTTGAAGTACACTTTAAATATAAATATATTCTAGCAGGATAGTGCATGAAAAGTACAGGTTTGCAACACTATTTATGTCTATTAAAAAAACCTAACTTTTAAAACATGAAATCAGGTAGACATGTGTTCACTAAAGTGTGTTCAACAGTAAAGTAAACGTTATTTGCTTTTAAACAAAAGAATCGTTTGTAGTAAATACATGTAGCAATTTCAGTAAATATTGAACAGTGATTACATGCAAGACGATTATCAAAAAATGACTTCTGTAGCTTCTCTTGATTTGTTAGTTAAAAGGATAATCTAAAGTTTACATAATTTTCGTCTTGCTTTCTACATAAGTGTGACTGAGACTACTTAAATGGCTTATGTTGAAAAATGATGTTGAAGTTTTTGATGCTGAAGATGTAGAGTTTATTAGGTAGACGTTAAAAAAGAAAAGTGAACAATTATTCTGATTGTTTGTTTGGGCAGGTACCTTACATACAGTCACAACCTGGACCTTTAGGGTATTGACTGTATTAATAAACTATCTCTTTGAGCAATACGCTTAAATTCACTTTATTCAAAAATATACACACCTCCTCAAAAATCTGCTGACGGACATGCAGGTTTCCAGAAGTTGTTAAGCTACCAGGAAAACAGGAATTACAGTCACCAGTACTACGAAGATAACAGAGAGTACTATAACTGACCAAGTACCTTCAAGTGGTCGTCCAACCGAAACCTTATTTTCCTCATAAAAGGGAAGGTGTTGGGAAAGGAGGAGACACATTATGAATGAGTGTTTCCCACGTGATGTGTAAAACAGACATTTGACCCTAATTTAGCTTAAAGATCACGTCACTGGATTTTTTGCCACAGGCTCTCCAGTTAGTTTTCGTTTCTAATGTTTGTAATTTATTGGTCATATGAATCAACAGTAATTCCAAGTCAATTTTTTTCGTGTCCGTTGAACAATAAATATTTGCCTTCTCAATCTGTGTCTCATCTGTGTCTTTCTCATTGCGGAAACAGTACTCTTGTGAGCAGTCATGTAATGCTATGTATTGAAGTAGACGTTAGAACATACCCAAATCCAGGATTATCTTGGTCACAACATTATCACTGAGACAATGACACTAAAGTGTAAAGTGCAAATCGTCTTGTATCTACTGATCCATTTTGAATTTTTCAGTTTGTTATTTTATTTTCCACTGAATGTTACTGAATCTCGTTTTCTTGACCTTAAGAATATAAATTTTTAAAAATCATTTGTACGAAGGTCTATTACTTTTATATGATAAAATATGAGTGTTTAACTAGGTATTCTTATTATACCAAGTGTTTATCAGTAAATTCTTGACTTAAAGTAAATTATGTAGGTTTAAGAAGTGATCTGAAAGCTACTGCAAATTCGTTAGGAATGTATAGGCTGAAAGATTAAAATGTAATTCTCACACATATTAGATGTAAACAAACGTTTGTATAACATACATACAATGAAACAACGTTGTAAATTAAGCACCAGACATTTTGTTGAATTTAAGGTATTTACAGAGTTAGGGGATAATTGTATAAAGCTAAATATGCATAATAAACTTGTGAATTCCAGACCTGAATCTAAAGAATCCTGCCACATTCATTAGGGTTGTTTCGAACCCTTTTACCAATAAATAGGTTTCTATGTCATAATGGCAGCATAATTTCTGTTTTCGATTCCCCGCTTCTAAGTTACATTGGTGTGTGACAACTAAAGTCCATATATTATCAAGTTATTTAATCAATTTTACGATAAATTAAGCTAAAAGTCGGCAAATTTTGAAGTATTTATTCTCCAGACCATCATTATCAATACTAAGTCAGGTTTCATTAAATTCTTTTGAATCTTATGAAAACTTAGCCGCAAAATAAAAACCACCATTTTTTCCAATAAAACACTAATTATAAATTGGATTCAATTTCTATTATTTATGGGTATGTTTCGTGTTCTGTTTTTATTCAAGGACCATTTCCAATTAATCATTCTGAAGATATTAAAATGACGTATTTAATTAACAACTGGAAACATGAAAATTGTGCACAGAAGGCTATTTGTTGGTTTGCTGAATGCATTGGAGTGGATAAAGACATTAAATTACCATCAGAATTACCATTTCTACTATTCAAGTTAATGCACTTGCATCGATACAACCTATCAATTGTTACATCATGCTTAACTATATTAGTTCATGCTGTTGAATCTGGACAAATGGAGTGTTTACTAACACGAACACGGTATACTTGTGCAGATGGTAGTGATATAATGAAAATTTTACCTAAAGAAATTAATGATTTGAAAAAATTTTGGAAAACAAAAAGTTTAAATACTGTTCTATCAGTGATGCAAAAATACTTTTATCATACTAGTATACAAAACTTAGGTTTCTCATTTTTTGATTATCTAATTAATGCAAAACACTTTACTGTCAATATGGATATTGTACAAGGCTATTTAAAAACATACGATAGTATATTTAAGAAACTACGAAAAATTAATTTATCTCGTCATATTATAGAAATGCTGAAATGTGAATCTAAAGATAATGTTAAAATAGCAATAAATTATCTATGGAAATTTTGTATTTACGGTAAGTTATACATGGTTTTTAACGTGGAAGTAATTTACTGTCTTCTTAGATGTCGTATAAACAAGTTCCAATACATATTCACTGCTGTTCAATAACAAGATACTTATAAAATTTATGCACTGAATACTTGTTGACTAGCGTTGTTGAATTCAGATTACTTATTAGCTAACTGTGAAGCGGTAAATCTTTTTTGAGTGTCAAGAAAAAACGATGTCACCTATCTCGTCTTCAGTGTTGACATTGAATGAATTCTATTGGTCAGGTTTCCAATATGGTCACCATGCTAAGTGATTGTAGGTAGTCGGCAGGAAACTGTAAACCTAGGTTTCATGGTCGTTTGTAATCGTCGATAAGATGTTTCTGAAACCTGAGGGGAAGTGAATACCCTTGGGGATTTGAACCGGTATCATCCACTTCTGCATTCAGAGACGTTACCACTTAACTATTCGGGCTATTTATTCCGAACAGTTGATCAGTACCGATAAGCACGAAATCTACATCCAGGTCTTCTTAGCGACTGTCACCAAACAGCCAACTATCTAATTGGTTCAATTGTATTCACACACTGGTATTGTAAATAGAATTGTCGACTAAATCATTCAGTGTTACTGTAATGTTCGTATACACTTTTTCTCCACAGTTATGTTTCTCAAGCAATATAGTTCTGTCGTTTTTATATGTTCTAACATAATTGGCCAGGTAAACGTGCAGTATCGGATACAATGATTAGATATATATTAAAAAGGGAAGTAATGTATACTATCCACATATTCTGTGTGAATAAATGAGAATTTTTAGTTGTAGAGAACAAGACTGATAAGCAGGTGATTTCCTTTATTATGGAACCTGAATTCAGTGCCAGTGTGAAATATTTTGTCATCCGACCGATCCCTAACATACATTATTTTCCAGCTAGAGGTTTCTCCACTGTTCATGATTTCCATTCTTTTTCTCTCATATTCCGATTAATAGGCCTTTTTGCTCTTATCAAAAACGAACGTTGGTTGTCAACCCATAAAGCCTTTTATCATCATTGTATATATTACTTGTGTGAATTTTTTGAACGCATTATAAGTTATAACTAGTAGCAAATATACTCAGGAATATAAGTCGTTATTGCTCTGTTAAAAAATACGTTGTCAGTAATTTTATTATGTGCTTGTTTATGCAAGAGGATAACAAAATTGTATCTCTAAGGATATGTTGGTCATTTCCTGAGAATATAGAAGTTAGGATCCACTGCTATATTAAAAAGATACTTTGTCTAAAGCAGCTGTTGAAAAGGTTCATGCAGTTGTTATATATTTCATTCCGAAACATTTAAAAGATGGTCTGTTTATAAAGCTCAGTATGTAAGATATAAAGAGGCTCTGGGCCTATTATATTTTCCTTAAAATATTAATCAATTAAATGCCATTACTGAAAGGTAAAGTTAAATGTGGTTTTGTTGAAAAAGTATCCAAAATGACATACATGTAAGATATTTAATGTGGATTGTGCAACTAGAAGAAAATATACGTCATTAGACGGGGCGTATATAAAAATCCAAATGATTGTAAAGATTTATGTGACGTATCACAAAATATTGAATATAATGTCTAGAAGTCAAAACTGTTTGATCAAATTAGATTGGCCTTTAGGCGAAATCAAAATGTCAAGTAGAAGTACGAATGAAATAAACTAGAAGTGCTTGTGGAAAAGTGAATTAGGTAGAAAAAAAATACTGATTAACTATACTGAGGTAGTGTTAGAACCAGGACGGTGTATTACTTGTCTATCACCACTCTTTCAGTCATGCAGATTAGCTGATTGAGTTTAAGTATTAAATCTGTATAAAAGTAGTCCGATCAGAAACACCTAGAGCCAAAGTGAGTCAGTACAGGATTCCCAATCTGTGATTAGAACATTATTACATATTGTATTGGGTTATCATTTAATTAGCAATTTCGGTAATGACACCTTGACTGTTTCCAAAAATATGTTGCTTTCCAAAATATGCATTCTAATAACCTCGACATTTTTAATTAGTTTATATCTCTTCGCCAGTATGCCGTTGAAGATAAACAGAAAGGTCGAAACAAGGCAATGAAATGGTCACTGTGTCAGCAGACAGAAGTCACAAATCCATAGTAAAGATGGAAATAAAAACCTTAAGAAGGTTAAAAAACTGTTATAATTTACAACGACATATTAAACACTCAAAAACGATTGTGTTCACAAGTGGAATAGTCGTAAATTATCAAGATCAGACAGGTTTTCAAACGAAGTGGCCCTATTTATACTTCAGTTTCCTGATTGTTCATAGATGTATGAAAATGGTTGATTATTTCATATTCAGGAATATATAATTCCAGTTTAGTGAAATGTCTGTAGGTTAACAATCAGAAACTTCAAGTTCAGAGTTAACTGAACAGTGAAAACGTTCGATTTTACATGACTTTACACTTTCATAGAACTAAGTTTAACCAATGAAACCACTTTAATACTATTTAATGTCGACGATAAACTGAAATACTGCAAAAGTAAAGTGCTCAGAGATCTAATGAAGTTTATTAGTTTATGCCCAGCTGTTTATGTCTAGCTCAATAAAGAATATACATACCGAAAGAAGAAGTGAAATTGAAGTCACCCACTTACATATTGATATCTGGAGTGCTTGTACAAAAACTGCAGTCACTTATACCATTTGTGATCAAACTAAAATTGTGCACTGTTCACGTGCACAACACATTTTTTATTAACATGAAGTAATAAAATTAAATGTATCAAAGTATGATAGGAATTTTTTACCTGAGATTTAGACTTACGGGCACGGACGAAAGCTAACCAGCTAGTATTTCTAGATATTCGAGACAATACAGTCATTACAAAAAAACGTGGAAAATAAGGTTTACTGGAAAACGGCGTGACTACAGTTGCGAGGATAGCTATGTAAAGATGCCGCTGAGAAAGGTAGGAACCGACTGCAACACAAGGAAGTCAGCGAAAACTAGAAGTAGTTTGTTTGATTGAATGAATGAACTCAACATCCACACAATAAGCATCAACAAAAGTTGTCCACTGAGAAGAATACAGGAATCGTACATCTTTTCATCCAGAATACCTCAGAAACCACTAGAAGGCTGTACCACATTTTAATATTTGTCTCCCTTGACAAACTCACCAAAGCAATCCAGAATTTATTGTTTAGGTTCAATGAATAAGTATACACAACCACAAAATTTTAGACATCTTGATAATTGTATGAAATAATGATTAACAGACATGATGATTTGCATACCACATGCATACCAGTAAAGGTGAGATTTACAAAGAATGAATGCGAAATGAAAGCAGATATCAAATAAGGCCAAAGAATTATCTGAAATAATAACACAAATATATTGTCTAAATTTCTTACTTTGAATGCCACCCGCAAACCACTGTAGGAACAAGGGGCTAAAGACAGCATGACCCATTGATATAACTATAAAACTTGGGCACTGTGGTAGAGTATAACTCCATTATGGATAAGATTTTATTTTGATAAATCACACAGTGTTATACAGTAATATGATATGATTATGAGCAATAGTTTGTGCTCAGAACGTCATCAGTTAATATTACCGTATAACACTGTGTGATTTATCAAAATAAAATCTTATCCATAATGGAGAATGTCCGTGTTGACTTACATATATGACAGCGCTGTTGAGAATATTATAAACTTGTTTCATAAAAACAAGAAAATATGACCATTGAAACATTTAAACAAATAAATGGCATCTGCTCCATGAAACCGTGAGTCACCCAACCACAAAAATCAAATCTCAGTAGTTGATGTGAATGAAGTAACCACTTATAAGTATAAGACTTGGGCACTGTGGTAGAGCATAACTCCATTATGGATAAGATTTTATTTTGATAAATCACACAGTGTTGTACAGTAATATTATCTGATGACGTTTCGAGCATAAACTATTGCTCATAATCATATCAAGTAACCACTTACTTGAGATACAGCTTTGTACTCGAAATCCAACCAAAAAGTAAAGAAAAATATCATATCTATTATAGGCTTGATGGGACAGATGTGTGTAGATATTGAAGAAATCATTGCACATTTTAGTAATTTCCCTAACATAACTAAAGATTACTTACTACAATACCAATAGAAGCTGTTTCTACTACAAAACTTGTTCAATTAACGAATTAAGTGACTTGTAACAACACAGTATTACTCCTTATTTATAGCATTTAACTGAGTCACACAAAACGTTCCATTAACTGGATTCATTTAGATCATTTCACTTTATAAACTTCATCTTCCAATCCTTTTGTTAACTGCTGTATTATTCAAATGACAAATTAAATATGATCATGAGTTTTATGATTGTCGATTGTACAGTCACTGCATGTTAATTCGAATACTGAGCAGTTAGGAGAAATCTCGTCTCGAGTATAATCCAGTCTCTTCAAGCAGGATTTTGTTTCTCTTGTTCATATGTAGAAAAAATTTATCCATAAAATGAAGTGATATGCTAACAAAAATATTTTAGATGGTAAGACTTCACGTCTTCTTCTAGAACTGGCTTCTATTCAACCGTCTTGCTGGGTAATTTATTACATCAACTGGCGTTAAAACGTACTTTTCGTTCATATCATTTCTTCGTGAACAGATTGAAGGATGTCATTATGGAGATGTTTTGAGCGGCATTCAATATATTTTCTAGTCATAGGTCAAAATGTGTTGGTTTATGAAACAGTGAATTTCCTTGAAGCAGAATTATATTATTCGCTGAAAGACCTTGACAAAAAGTGAATGGAATTTACGATGATATAAATTGTCAAGGCTGAAGCTTCTATCTATGGATCTCTTATAATTGTGGAAATTAACAGGATGGTTTTGGATTCGAAACCCAGTGGGTGCATACTGCCATTGAGTCCCAAACTAGGATGAAACAGCTATCCAGTACTCCCTGGTTTTCAATGGTTCTCTAACTGATGTCAATCCGTGGTCTAATCTGAAGCAGATAGAATCCCTACAAACTAATTCTTGAACAGTATTTTATTTTTCTCTAGTGAATAAGACTACTCATTTATTTTCAGAAATAAAAAACGTGTTCAAGACACTTAAGGTTGCAGGAAAATTTACAGAAAGAGGGAGAAGATATTTATTTTTGCAAACCAATACTTAAGATATTGTTCATTAGTGATTGTTTTACTAATATAATCAAGAATATTAGCACAATTTACCAGAGTTTATAATCCACTATAGAATTTTGGAATTTTGTATTAATAAGAAAATGCCACTGACCAAGAATAAATGCACTGCTTTTACAATGAAATTAGTATTGTTTTGGTACAGTGTTGTTTACGGGCATATTAGAGTTTTCGTTACAACAGTAAAAGTATATTCATTCAAAGTATGCCTTATTAGAAATGTGAATATATGGCAACTGCTTAAGAAGATATCAGTTCAATAAATCAAAATACCGGTTTTTCCTAAACCAGTGCTGTACAACAAATCTACAAACCTTAGGGTAAAAATTATGTACAAAATCATTTTCTGATGATAAAAATCAATGTTGTATAATCTATTGGAAAATATTAGTTTGCAATAAACTTGGTTGTTATTGCTGTAGAACTAATCATTTACAGTTCTCTAACTGTCATATAAATAATCAAATATTGGCAATAAAAACTTACATTCTCTGCATCTTGTCAATCAGAATATGTGTTACTGACTGCCTACTTAACTAAGTTATTTAGTTTAGCAATTTTATACTAGCGTCTTATTTTTGGTTTACTTGTTTATCAATTACTTGGCGCACTAATATTTAACACCTATATACCACATGTATAGTGTTATGAATTTATACTTATGTGTTCATTTTTTGTTTTTTGGTTGAATCGCAGAACCTATTGCTCAAGATTTGGCAAAAGCAGATGCCCTATCAATAACTATAGAGTTTATGCAGTCTAATTATACGGATTGTGAAATTTATACTAACGGCTCTTTGGTAATTGTATCCCTCTTACAAATCGGTAAGCTACATTACAACTTTATAATAGTTTTATTAATATATGTGTAAAGCTTGGGCACTGTGGTAGTAATTCCATATTAGTTTGTTTATTAGGTATATCACACAGTGAAACAGTATTATTTACTGGATGACGTTTCGAACAAAATTTATTGTTCATAATCATATCAATTGTGATCACACGACTTTGACACTTGAGTTTTATAGCTTTCTTTGTTCTCTCCTATTTGTCGTAGGGGGAGTAGAATTTTCGAGATATCTGGGACAGGTGATGAATCATTCCTATTACATGTATTTGCAAATACATAGGGATAATAACAATAATAATGATAACGACAATAGTGATAATAATAATAATATTAATGACAACACCAACAATAAAGAATCTAAATCATCAGTAGTAATTCCATACAAGGAAGGAACCTCGGAAGCCTTACGCAGAATTCTCAACAAGGCAGGAATAAAAACGGCATTCAAACCCACAAACTCAATTAGAAACAAGCTTTGTCGGCTAAAGGATCCTGTAGAGCCTTTAATACAAAACAATTTAGTTTATCTAATACCCTGCTGAAATGATTGTCAGGTCAAATACATAGGTCAAACTAGTAGAACAGGGGCAGTCAGACTAGCTGAACATAAAAACTTAGCAAAATCTAGATTGGTTGACCCGAATAAGATAAGAAATCTAGAGAATAGTTCAGCTATAGCACTACATGCAGTCACACACAAGCATACAATAGGATTGATGGGATAGGATGACAGTTTTAAAATCTAATGTCACAGGGTGTAGGAAGAGATTGATAACAGAAGCTTTGTTAATCGAATCAACTACAAATACATGTAATAGGAATGATTCATCACCGGCTATAAAACTCAAGTGTCAAAGTCGTATGATCACAATTGATATGATTATGAACAATAAATTTTGTTCGAAACGTCATCCAGTAAATAATACTGTTTCACTGTGTGATATACCTAATAAACAAACTAATATGGAATTCATAGTAGTTTATTAAAATTAAATTTAAAGTACTCACAATTTCTTCCTGTCTGTTGCTTTGTGACATTAAATAAAATATGCCACTACGCGTAATTGATTTAATACTGTCTATTACTAGAGTTAGTTAAATTCAAGTTATACATGTTGAAGTATTTATTGTAACTAGATGAAAACTTTACAAATTTTACACTGAAATATGTAACTATGTTTGTCCATCAATTGAGGTAGCTATTCGGAATCTCGAATGATTCAACAAAGTGATTTATTAAATCTCCAGCTGATTACCATTCATTTTTTGGAAGAATGAAAACATTCTTATTGTAAATGAACAATATTAACCTTATGCATCGTAAATTTTAAAACAGAAGAGAATTTGCATAATAATAATAATAATAATAATTTCATTTTCTCAGCAATACAACTTTATTCCAGTATAATACTCTTATTGTATGAATTGTCTTTTGTGTTTGTGTATTATTGCAATTAATTTAATTATTATTCTCATATAAAATTATGTAGCTTTGACACATTGGGCACTTGTGATGAGGTTTCTAATATAAATTCAGTAATATACAACTTGGTATAGCAGTTTACTAGCTTACATCAACATATCGAGATGAGAACTGACAAATGCATGCATTAAGAAATGAGAAAAAGAAGTAATAATCAAATGATACATTTTATACTGAAAGGGCATAGATGTAGAAGATAAAGGGAATCTAGATATATTGTATAACACTGAAGATAGGAATATATTACTCGGTATCATATTGATACTGAAGATTAGATGGTGGTCAAGAACGGATAAGCGACAAGGAACTCTGGCAAGCAGCCGAAACAACCAAAGAATGTGCAGGAGGAAACGGAAGTGGATTGGACACACTCTGAGATCATAATGCCCTAGACCTTCGAGTGGAGCTCGAATGGGAAAAGATAAGTTGAGTGTCTGAGTATGATATAGAGGGGATCATATGGAGAGGAAGTGGAACCTTATGGTCAAACCTGTAGCCAGGTAAAAAAGATTGCAGAGAACACGGTGAAATGAAGATATGCGTCTGAAGTCATAGGAGTCCATGGGATCATTAGTAGTACTAATCATGACTACAGGAAGTCCCCGGCAGTCTTTTCAGGTTGTGTTGTTAACCCCAACCAGAAAGTTCACGCTTTCCTACCTGGCAAATGTAAACAATCAGTGATTTGTTGGTGGCACTATCTTAGGTAGTCTCGTAATATTAGGCTAATATATGATAATTTAAATGGTGATGAAAACCTGAGTCAAGAGAATGTGAACTAGTCTACTTCATAAAACTAGTTTAGGGTTCGTCCAACTAAGTTGTGAGACCCTATTGCTAATCATATCTTGGTTTCATAGCTATAGCTAAGTTTTTTGCCTATTGCTGAAGCCGTAATATCATGAAGACAACTATATTACATTACCAACACCTTTCTTTAAAGCTAATTATAATTCACTTAAGATTATCGTCTGAAGTAAAGGTAGGAAGATTGGGTCATTTTTTGTCTGAATCACCTCAATGTGGCTTCAGTTCGATAAAAAGCGTGTGACAGATATACGAAGCCGATAAAAGGGTTTTATCTGAATGCTGTAGCCAGGAACCACGAAAAAGTATTGCACCTGTTAAGTCTTCAGGTGACCTTTAAGATTGTGCCACTGAATCAGCGAGAGATGTTTCCGATTTTTCAGCTGTATTCTACATCTGTTAAAAAAACATCAGTAAGGCTTGGGAAGATTTGAAGTTTTGGTCGTCGTTGGATTACTTACCATTTTATGTACTTTATGTGAACATTACGCGACATACCCAAAGGTTGACTGTAGTATTTCATCAATGAGACAAGCAAGTCAGTCAATGAATTTGTAAGTAACTATAGACTGAAAGAGCCGAGTGTGTTGCATGGTTCAACTAAGTGTTTCCATCAATGTGTTATTAGCGTTGATCGATTAATTCGGAAGCGTTCGAAAAGAAGCCTGATGATGTTCTAATATCGTACTATGATATGATTGACATTCACTCTGAAATGTCTACATCCTAGGTGTCTTAGACTTTATATCACATCTTGCTACCAGTCGTAATGATATAAATGGGAATATACGGTGTCTTCATTCTCATTCTTATATCATATCTCTTTATTCGAATGATTTCATCTGAATGTCATTCTGCAACATTTGTTTATATAGTTGTTACCTCTTTGTTATCTTCTGAATACTTTGGACCTAAAATGCAGTAAATATAATGAGTCGTACGATAATAATTATTATTGTCTCCTTTTGTTCCTAGAAGAACATAGGGATTCAGCCGACCGTCTCCACTGCGTTCTGTTTCCTGCCAACGTTTCCACCTGGCTCCACGTCTCCCACATCCTTTCACCTCCTCTCCTCACCACCTCCTTCATGTCACCCTCGCACTGACGACCAACTCGCCGCTTTCCATTCCCATTCCACTCGAGCGATGGCCTGGCATGTGATATCACTCACTTGATGGTTTGTTTTCTCAGAGTATGGCCAATCCACCTCCATTTCTTCCTGCATATTTGTTGCACAATTGTTTCCTGCTGGGTTGGTTCGCTCATTGCCAGAGATCGATCCCTGTTGCTGATGTTTTCTATCTGGCCATCTGATCTTGAGTAGTATTGGGCAGGACAGCTGTTGATGAAAGTCTGTAGTTTGTTCGAAGTGCCCTTTGTGACGCGGCATGGTGACAAGTCTCTGATCCGCGTATAGTAGCGCTGACTTCACATTGGAGTTGAAAATCCGGATATTATTTTTCATGCTGAGTGCTCTTGATCTCCCCACAGCCATAAATATATATTTGAGTCGCACCATAAGGTTATCTATTAAGATAATTTCAAGTGATCCGTGAATTTTGTTTTTAAAATCATTTCATAATATCATGAATCCAGATGACACTGTCTGCACTGTTATAATATTTGATAGTGTTAAATATTCCAAATTATGAATTAAAAGTCAATCTGAGTGAAGTATATTCTTCTCAGTCTTACTGCCTCCTTTTTATTGCATACTAATTTGTGCCAGCCACTCACTCACCTGACACCTTTTATAACCTTAAACTGACTTGGCAATTCTTTCTTTCCCGCACTGTGTGAATCTATTGTAACCAATCCCCATCACTTTCACTTCACAATATCTTGGAATTGAATTCAGCTTAGTACGTTTGTCACATAAGTACTACTTATTTTGTCACCCTATAACCAATCTGTTACTCTAGGTAAAATTGTATCCGCTGCATAGCTGGTCATTTTTGTAACGATAAATATTATATTTTATAATTACACTGTTATAGATGGATGTTGTAGATCACCTGGGTTTAATAAGATTTTACCTTCGTCGAAAGCGAAATACTTCTGACTTTTGTTATTCACGATATGGTGTACAACTTCACCTCTGAATATATCTTCTCACTGTCACCATGATGGATTGAAACAGTTACTATTTAATTCTTGTTAAAACTCCAGAAAATTCATTAAGTACATTGGTCGAATCTCAGCATACCCAAAGTTCGAATATGGGTCTTGACCTTATTAGTGACTGACTTTAAGATGTACTATTTGAAGTCCTGGTGAGAAGGCATGACCGTTGGAGTTTACCATGTCGAGTATGAGGAGATATACTCACCCATGAAGTGAAATTGTGTGCTACATTATAGATTAGTGAAATTTATAAATCGTGGACGCTGGGTCCCAACATAGTAAATAAATATAAATGTGGTGACTTTGCATCCGCAAGTCCTAAGTTCCACTCCTAGTGAGATCGTGAGTGCTCACTACTGATAAGAAAGAAAACAGCTATGCTTTACAGTATTCAGTGTTCCAGCAGCTAAATTTGATTCATGATGGAATCTACTTTGTAACTGGTTCTAAATCATTCACTATTCCATTTTCCTGTAGATTATCAGAATATTAGTCATCTCTAAGTTAAAATAACATCATTTACGCTTTCTGGCCTGAAATGGTGAAATTCGTAAAATGTTTGCGCAATACAGCTACAAGTACAAAATATTTCAGTGGTTCCTGTCATGATTATTTCTTCTGTTTGGTCAGCTGATAAGTTTTAACTGATAAATGCTGCCCTTTTCCTCTCTTGGTACTCACTTGTTTTCCCTGATAATGATTATTGACTGGAACACATATAAGACAGTATTCCACCTTAAATCACTTATCATTATAACAGCTGTGCAGAGTTTGAATCAAGCGCTCTTAAAACTGATATTTAAAACTTGTAAATTTGCGAAAAATATGCATGGGGAAAACACTTTAGCCGACATAAAAGTACTGTAACTTAACTGATATTTATTGAAGTTTTCCCGCAATCGAGATGTGGACGATTTAAATTTTTTTTGTAAATTTGGTTTGCAAATCCATTCATTATCATCAGTTTGCTGAAGAACAATTAAATACAAACACAGATAATCAAAAGCAGTTTGACTGGCACATTTCACATTTTCATAAAAAACACCACAGTTCAAACTAAATATTGTTAATACTTGAATAAAACGATGAAAATTCATAGATTTGTTATTATTATTCATTTCACAACTTTCTAATGAAACATAGAGCCACAGAGGCACATCTTCACTCCACTCAGCTCTCTGCCAACACTATCAACTGACTTTACGACTGCTCATAAGCTTACATTTTCTCTTCACGCGATCTCTCCCATGTCACACCCAGATGCCCAACCCATCGCACTCTATTTGGATTACACTTAGCATGTGGTATCACTTGAAGGTTTCCTCAGCATGTGTCCAATCCACCTCAATTTCTCTTTGCATATTTGTTGGGCAATTAGTTTTTGGCTGGTTCACCGCCTGGAAGACTTTCTTGTTAATCATCATCTGGTCTTCAGTAACGACTGAAGGGGATACCTGCTAATGAAAGTATGTAGGCCCTTGCAGATGCTTTTGGTGACGCAAAAAGTCTCTGAAGCAATGAAGAAATGACTGGATATTAGTGTAGATATTTGGGATGTTATTCGTTCTGCTGAGTGCTGTAGATCTCCATAATGATTTTAGAGTAATGAATACCTGTTTTGCGTTCCCCGTTCGACCGTGGCTGTCTTCGACATTCTGATCAGTAGTGCCTGCCTGCAGCTCAAACGATGCTGCTGAGATAAGTGAAAAAGACTATTTCTTTTTGACTTTAGTGCCTGTTTTCGGCAGGGCATTTTCATCACTTCTGTCTTCTCTATGTCCACCTGAATTTCCATCTTTGTCAGCTCTTCTGCCAACTTGAATTTTTGCGAAATGGGACATAAATGCTTGTGAAAGTTTAACTGTGTCACTGAAAGGTGTTATGGATGGATATCAATGTTGAGTTTTCTCGAGTTTCCAGCTGTGGAAATTCCCCTTAAAGTATTAGTATTAGAATATTCTATTATAAAATTTTATTTTTAGTTAAGTGATTCGACTTCATTTAACGGTTCATTGTTTAAATTTTGGAAATTTATCAAATTCTATTTTTTTTCTTTTTTACATAACTGAAGAGTTTGTAGCAAATCAAATTGTGAAATACAATAATTTAGTTCCAATGTTATTACGTGGTTTGATTGTATTCAAAGCTTTACCAAACACTATTTGGAGTATCTGTTTATGCCTACAAATTGTTATAAATTTATCAGGTAAGTGGCATTTTATTCATCAATAAAAATTCGATTTTTTCTAATTCTCTTTTCACCATTCAGAAATGATAAATAATCATTGTGATTATTACAAAATGACTTTATCATAAAACTTAAATTCCTTGCGAAATGCGTGACTTACTGGTAGCATATATATAATATATATATATATATATAAACTAAATGTGTTAAACAGGGAGATATTCTTCCCCAGTAAATAATTTCCAACAGTGTTTCGTAGCAAAATCACGTGTTCATTGTTGGTTAAAAGGTCAGCACATAATCATTAAAAAAACGTTTTGGCGTATCGCACTTACTGAAGGTGTGTTGCGCAATAACAATGGAAACATGTAACACAGAAATATGGATCTCTAGCTAGAGATTAGGAAGTTTCACGTGCTAAGAGAAAAAAGCTTATAGACTTGACAGAAATTCAATGAAATAGTTAACTGAGATACGAGTATTAGCAATATCAGTGATAGTAACAGTCTACTTTATAATGATTACGAAATTACACGAGTAAAACTTAGATTAAAACCACAGAAAAGATATGATGGAACTCCTCTGCTATACTCAAATGAGACCTAATATATATTTTAGCCATTCCACTTAGGTATGATAAGGGGACTGTATTACTGAAGAGGGGAAGTCTGAAGAGCATAGGATTAGCCTTTATTTTGAATAAGTACAATGGACATTGATTTCGATTTTGCAGTTGGCACCATACATTGCGCATTAGACGTGTTTTCTTAGCCATAGTCTGTCAATTATTAGATTTTCTGCCAGGATTTTTACTTTCTCTTTGCTTTTCTTCTCAAGCGGCTTTTCTACTGGGACAAAAATTATGATTGTTTCTCCAAAAACTTTACTTGATATACTGCATACCTATTTATAATTAGCACATACTACAATATTGCCTAATTTTTTCCTGATAGCCTAGTGACATACTGCTTAAACGAGATTTCAGAGAGTGAGAGAGAATGCTGCATATGAAGCATATATAGCGAAGCAAGTAGAAGCAGTTAAACTGATATATATATTTTTATTTAAGGCCATCAAGTATTTTGTAAATTCAGAACTCTTCTAGTAACTCAATACCTCTTCGTGTGGTGAGAGCTGTCTACTAGCCAAATTGGTGAACAGTAATTTACGTCAAGGTCGGCGCCAATACGAGAGGGTCACCGTCAACTCCCAGCTTCATGGTGCGAAACTGCTGCATTGCCCGCTCTCTGTCCATCGGGCTGTCAAACTCCTGCTTCAACCGTTCCACCACTGACTTCCAAGTTGGTTACCCCTCTGTTTGCCTCACTTTATCATATGCTGCCTTTGCCCGGCCTCTCAGTAACGTTCCAAGAACAACCGTCTTCGCTGATGGCTCTTGCACACCATTCAACTCTGCAATAGCTTCGAAGTCCCTTAAGAAGATCCATATGTCTCCTTCTTCAAAAGTTGCAGGCCATGGGACTTTCATTTCGCCACAGGCAGCGACACCAAATGTAACAACAGAAGGCAAGAGTCAGGCAACAGATCATTTATTAAGGAAATCAACACATATTTATATATTTTCATGTACATTATTATGGATATTTAAGCAAACAAACACAGTCTTCCGATTGGTTGTTTCTCACGTAAAGTTAATCTTTCATCTATTTGTGACTGTTTCTTGAATGTCAAATCCTCTATATGTTAACTGCATCCGCCTACGCAAAGTCAATCTTTGTTCACATTTTCTCACGACAAATCTTGGGAACGTAAATATTGACGTAAACTACTGTCTAGCAATTTGGCTAGCAGACAGCTCTCACCACATTCGTAGTCAAAGAAGGCATTCCTTGAAGTTTTGGCTAAATGTTATCTTCAATGAAGTTTGGTAGTCAGTCATTTTCCCCTGAGCACTTCCTATATAAATTCCATCTGTGTCGATCCTCCAGCTTGTCTTATAAAATGAATGAATCAGATTTCTGCTTCGGCAAACTAGTGCATTAAATTTTTAAATTTTGTATTCTTCACACTAGTGCGAGTTGACGTCCTATGAAATTGATCATTTTTTTCTTTTTACCAAAACATTTGGAATTTAAAATTTTAACTTCCTTTGCACTTCTACTATGAAGTTGATTTAAAATCAACAACTGTTATACCTTCTGTGGTTCAGTATCAACATTACTTTTATCATTAACAAGTATGTGAAGGTCATTCATTTATAGATTACGTATACGCGAAAGCATTGACGTTTTGTAGTGATTCATAGAAATAATATTATTCTTCCTTACCGTCAGTCATCAATATTTTCATATGCCTAATAAGCCCATTTAAATGCACTGATTTAAATAGCTTAATTGCCTATATATATATATATATATATATATATATATATATATAGAGAGAGAGAGAGAGAGAGAGAGAGAGAGAAGCAATCCAGACATGGTTATGTCTAATTTGTAATTAACACGGATGTTATTTATACAATTATTATTAGTGGTAGCAATAATGACTATGTAATTAATGGTAAGAGTAATAAAAGCATATTTCAAAGGATATACATGATTATTATGTAGAAAATGTAAAACTTGTACGTAATTAAAGGATGAAGGCGGATCACAAACCCAATAGAGAAATGAAGACTAAAGAGATAAATGAATTGATATTATTTTGTAGTTTCTGTATAGTCTAGTTACAATTAGCCACGTTAGTTGTAGAGAAACTACTTCATGATATTTCAGAGTTTTTGTCTTCTGAATGAATTGTTTTAATTTATCAAAAGTTTATCAAATGTATGCCAAACTAAAAGAAATATGAATATCTTTTCTGAAAACTTATTTTACAAACGAATCATTCAAATTCACACAAAATTATGAGCTGGTTTCTACTCAGCTGAATGAAAACTAGATGTGTATATGTGTGCCTCATTTAATATCTATTGAGCTATAATCCAACTTATCCCAATTTTATGCAATACAGATTCACCAAAATGCAGTTAGTTCATCAGTGTACCTAAAATATATTCCACAAACTTGCTTATAACTAGTATTTTTAGAAGATTCTGTCTGTCTCTTTTCGACCTAGAACTTTGCAGTTCAAGTCGCCACACTCCATGTAGCACACAAAGCAAGAGAAGAAAGTAGGAGAAATGCATATTAGAGACAGTAAACAGAGGTGTGAGACAAAGGAATAGTAATCACGAAGAACAAAACAGTTTCATTGGAAATCATGAGTCACAAGGAGTGGATACATCTGCGCCATTGACAACGATTTTGAGCCATATCACCGATTGTTTCCAACCATTGGTTTTTACCGTCTCGAGGACCCCAACCATGAAGTCTACACCTTCCTACGTGGCTTAAACTAACTGTCGTGGATTTCATTGACTGGTGCCATAATTCCGTTTGACCGCCGCTAGCTCTTTTCCAGCCTGACCCTATGTCAGCTAACATTGCCAGTCAAGGAAGGCGATGACTAGGCATACGTAACACATGTCCTAACCATCTCGCTCAATCGATGTAACTTCACAACCTCGTCGATTGATTTCCCCTCCCACCTACCTAGCACTCGACCGATGCCTAACCTCAACATTTCTCACCCTATTATACCACCACCTAACACGGGAGATAGAACACAGGTACCTATGTTCAAAGACAGCTAGCTACTCTTTTCATGTCTTCCACTCTCAGTGGCCAGATTTCACAGCCATAAAGGAGGATGGGGCGGACTGCTAAGCAGTACACCCGCCCTTTGGTTGATAGCCAAAGACGGCATAAACTGCCATATGCGAAACCAACCTTGTGTATCCGTACTGAGATTTCGTCAGCGATCAACCCGTTGGGGCTGATGCAACTTCCCTAATAAGTGAAGCGGTCAACGCGCTCTACCACTTCACTCCCTATTTCTAATCTATGAGTCAGTGTAGTCCAATCCTGTAACATCATCTTGCATTTGGCGGGAGCGAATCACACGCCAAACAGTCGTAGATTGCAGCTCAAGGTTTTCAGAAGACTCTACATTTTGTCAGCGTCCTCGCCTGGAAGGACTATATCGTCTGCATATTCTAAGTCAACGAGATTATTCCCTGGTAGCAAGTCAATCCCTGAGTCTCTGAAGTGAGTTAGGGTTAAGTTCATTGGTACGTCTATGATGAAATTGAATAGAAATGGGGATAATGGGCATCCTTGACAGACGCCACTAGTCGTCACCACTTCAGATGACAACTCGCCGTAAGCCCTCACCTGGCTGCATGAGTACGAGTAGAGTGCCTTAATCAGTGCAATGTATTTTCTCGGCATTCCCTTTACAGCCAAGCATCGCCAGAGTACCTCTCGGTCGACAGAATCGAATTCCGCCTTCAGGTCAAGAAATATAATGATTGTTGGACGCCGGTAGGAATGCCTATGTTCTATCCTGGGAGCTAATTATGGTGCCATTTTTCTCCGAGATTGTTTCACTTATCATTTGCCTTTTGCCACCTGTTTCCCTGATAAGCCTAAATAGTTGTCTGGTGTTGCCAACCGCCGATGCCTTTTCCATCTATTTCGCTTTGTCGCCCACCACTGTTCATGGTCGTTGCGAAGACTATTTGTTAGTTTTCGTTTAAGTACCTTTCGCTCCTCATCATAACCGGAGCTCGCTGGAATCAGTCTTCTTGCGTCGATCAGTTCGGATGAGGCAGTAGAGATCCAATGACTCTTACTAACTTTGGGTTTTAGCTTATTAACAGCTTTCACAGCTGTGTCTACAGCTAACTGTATGTTGTGCCAGGCTATCTCGGGGGAAGATTAAGAAGAAGATTTAAGAAGATTACAGTGTGTATATTTGTTGTATGACCGCTGAATATTTCCTCGTGGTTATTCTGTTTCCTTTTTCATTTTTGACTGATTCGCAAAGCACACTTTATCCAATAACTGGTGTATTGAGAGGTCGTAATGATATTCCATACATTTCTAATTCGTAATTATCGCTTGTTATTCTGCAAGTGTATAATATGGCAACATAAATACACTTGAAATGAAGCAAAATGAAAGTTGTGGTGTTTGACTTCCAGGTCGACCATAGAACCGTTTTCTGATTTACTGTGTAAGCTACAGCATATAGTGCAAGGCTGGTAGAATCACACTTCTTTATTTGTTCTTATCATTTTTTATTCTGAAGATTACTTCCCTACAGTCCTACAGGAGGTCAATCGCGAGCCTGAATAGCTCAGTGGTAACGTCTCTGACTGCGTCACTGGGTGACGCGGGTTCGAATCTCAGAAGGGACATGAGTTCCTTCAAGGTTGTGGATACGCCTTGCTGATGAGTGCCAACTAGCACGAAACCTAGGTCCAAGGCTTTCTGCCGATTGCCTTCAACCATCTAATACCAGATTACTTCTCTTTCGTACAGTTTCTTTTTTGGCCAATCAGTACAGAATTGCTCTGTCCGCATATCTGTCGTTGTTAAAAAAGTTCTACCCCACACCTTGTGATATTCAGAGAATCTTTCTTGAAAAACAGAATAGAAAATGCTTTCATTGTGAAGCGATGAACTAATTTTAGTGTTCAAAGCACTTGACAGTATCAACAGTGCGGTAGCAGAAGATACTGTCAGACTTTTTACTGATTAAGCAATATCAGAAATCTTAACAAAGCCTGAGAAAAGATGAAAGCATAGTGTGTTAATCTATTGTGTTTGTATTTTCCATTTAAAATGCGTCATTTTTCAGCCTTCTTTTTTTTCCTCCGTTGTTACTCCAATAGCATTTAGATATGTGTTATTTCCAACAGTATAAAATGTCTGAATAGCTTAGCAGTTTAGTTGTTATTTTTTCGTAGTCATTACCAATCAGTAGTGAAGACTGATCATCAGTCTTGAAAAAGCAATGATGAAAATATTTTAAGCTATTATAAATGTCAAGAAAAATCCTTTTCGTATGTTATTCTGTCTGCATTATCTTTGAGACTATTGATTTGTATTTGTCTTGTCATTTTTATCGCATGGCTATTTGTTTTAAAGAGTGTTTAAATTTTTCAGTGAACAATTTCAACAACTTTTCTCTATGATAATTTTCAAGCTTTTGGTGGAAATAGTAGTAAAGAAGAAAAAGTATAATGCATATTCAAACTTTTAAAATATAATATTGTATGGATCAACTGACAGTCATTTATGCACAACAAATATATATATATTTTTTCAGACTAGACAGTAATTTCTTGGGAAACTAATTTGATTGACGCGAATTTAAAACAGCAATACATTCAAGTGGATAATTTATTAGTTTTGAAGGATTTCGAAACAATTTTGTGATAGAATAAGGTGACTGGTTAATGCAATAATACAACAGGAATCATGATTTGATCCTTAGATCTAGTTAGGCAATTAAGAGTTGTAAATCATAACACTGAGTACTGAAGGCGACAGTTAAATTATATTATTGTCTCCTTTAGTTCCTAGAGGGACATAAGGCTTCAGCCGTATGTCTCCACTGCTTTCGGTTCTCCACCAACGTTTTCACCTGGCTCCATGTCTGCCCACATCCTTTCATCTCCTCTTCGCATGACCAATCAAACACAATTCCTAAAAAAACCAATACCTGAAAATGAATCTGCTGCTCACCAGCGATTGGTCCTGTTCAGGCAGTTAACTTTGGGTTCTAGTGGGAAGCCGTGACCAGTAGGGTAGAGCAGGTTGAAGGTGAGGCAGTAACTCATTGAAGAAAACATTGCGAAGTGATCGCGCTATATCATGGGCCATTGGATTGGGTCCCAGTGGCTTAATGGTCTACAAGCTAGCTCGCTTTGTAACCAGAAGGTCCTGGGTTCGAATTCCGGTGGGTGTGAACTGATGAAGAGTTCCGAACTAGGCTGACGAGACAGCTGTCCAGTACTTCCAGGTTTTCCAGTTGTTCTCTACTGATGTCAGCTCATGACGAAACCCTCCAACCTTTGAATATATTGAACTGATTTCATTACAAACCGGATTCAAAGTTGTACAATTCACGTGTATAATATGCAAGTGTTATGTGTAGTTAGTTCAGTTCCCTTCATCATATATACACATTGGTACAAACGTAAATAAAAAGGTTCATGACTTAATTAACCAATAGGGATAAAAAGCACAAATTGATTTTAAAATGGATGACTAAATGTATCAACATAAAGGCGTGGAAAGTAAACGGGTAAAATACTATTGAAAAAGTGCGACTTAAGTTAGAAGTATTAAAAAGGAATAATTTAGATTAAAGCATACTTAACAGAAATATGAATAATATGTGAGAGCTTGCAAAACCGTTAAGTGAAAGCATATCAAATAAAACAGCAAACAAAGCTGTAGGGGAATATAAAAGTAGTAGTGTAATGCAAGGTCAACTATGAAATATCATTAGTGCACATAAGATGTATGTCAGTTGACAGACTGCTGCTACTTGTGCGCGACGTAACAATCTACTATTATTTTACCTATTCATTACATAGTGAAGTGTGTTTGAGTTGACAGCACTACCTGTATTGAAAATTAACTCACCGATGACAGTACCAGTTGGTCTTAACCTTCTTACTGATGATTTCCAAGTCATTTGTTCGCAAATTCTTTCAGAAAGACTCATTTCATTTCCCTAAGTACTTGTTAATGTAAGTACAAGTAGATAAATAAATTACATTAGGGGTATTATGAAGAGATCTGATACTCGCTAGTGACTTGCTACATGACGGAGTTTCCTGGAGTTCTGGTCAGAAGTCGTGACCAGTGAGGTCCATCCAGTCAAGTGTGAGGAAGGATGTCCCACCGATGACATTGGTTGATGGTCGCGTTAAATCACGAATTGGTAGAAGTTAGAATTCATGGACTGGCTATTGATTGAATCGGGTCCCAGTGGCTGAATGGTATACGAGCTTGCCTTGTAACCGGAAGGTCCTGGGTTCGAACCCTAGTGGGTGCCTACTGCCGACGATTCCCAAACCAAGATGAAACAGCTGTCCAGTACTCACTGGTTTTCAATGGTTCTCTGACTGACATCAATCCGTGATCAACTCGTTAAAAACAAATCTAATCCTTAAAAACCAATTGTTCATTTCTCAGCAGTGTAATCTGGTGCTCTGTATTCATTAGGTCTCTGCTTATTTGCAAAACTGAATTCACTGCCTCTCATAGTAGTTTAATAAGAACATCCTTTCTCAGCGTCTTTCGTCAAGTCACTTTTTAGATTCAGATATAAAATACTTTATAGTTAGCTTTGTTACATATCTGACATCCACTGAAATGTTTCCCGATGTCTCATTTATTTTCGGTTAGACCTCCAAAACGTTTTAAAAGTATCAATTGGACTTTTTATTAAGAAATAGGAGGAAAGCTAGTAAGTAGCAAGTACTGTCTGGTTTAAGTAACTTTATGATTATCTTTTAAAGGGTTGAAAAGTCCCATTCTTTGTTATACTGGAGTCTAAACGTATAATGCCCATTTTAGGGTGGATTTCTCCACAAACCGTTATAATTAAGAGGACCAGTGAAGATCATGGGGTAATGGAGAGCTATTTCATCCTGGTTTGAGACTGTGTAACAAAATGAACTTATCATCCTACCAAGAAGCAAACTTAGGACCTTCAGTTTGCGAAGAATATACGTTGTTATTCAGCCACTGATTAGGAATACCATGATCTATGGATTCTAACTTTTTTCAGCTAGGGAAATAGTGTCACCATCAACAATGTTCAACAGCGAGTTTGGATTGAATCAACGGAATTATAAAATCCAAGTAGACTGTACAGCTTTTACTTGCATACATAGCGAAAGCATTATCCATAAATCTCACAGGCGATGTTGTCAGTTTTAAAGTATTCCTTACATTGACATCCTTTAAGCGTGCAAGGAATATTTCCACAAATGGAGGAGCAAGAAGATTTCCCATTGACATACATATGTCTTTATGTGGTGCTAATCACTAAATTAGTACTGCAAATAATTGTTGCATAACTTTAGCAAAACTTTCAGTATCTTTAGCAGAAGACTTAGTACTTCAGCATGGCTACATATAATACCTATCAAACATTTAAGCGTCATTTTCATAGACACCGATTCAAATGAAGCCATGTATTTTCTGTTTTACATTAATGCCATCAATCCTATCACTAAACTCAGAGATATCTTTCAAGTTATGAATATTTAGTTTTACCTATTGCACGAGTTATTTGTGTAGACAGTTAAAATGGCTAATATTGTCTGTGAAGGCATTCCATGTTGTGCAACTTACGAAGGCTGTAGATATATGAAAACTTGGTATTTCCTGCTATTAGTGACTCATAGAGCTATACATCTTTTAAACTATGATTCGAAAGTTTACTTAAGACTTGGTTTAGGCTATTTTCAGTTTACAGTGTCATGAAAATAAATCTCTTTTGTTTTACAAAATCACACTAGAGCTGTTATCAAGTTTCAATTGTGAAGCATGGCAGTTCTTAAAAATACAGATGACAGGAAAAACTGACGGTTTCTCCAAAATCTGGGCAGTAATTTAAAATGCGTAGTTTACTTTTCACTACTGCCATTTAATTAAGATAATTAAATGCATCGGTGCTTACAATTATGCAAAATATTTTCCCTAAGTGATCTATGCAACCTCTACAGTCAAGAATATTTTATCTTCTGAAAGATAACAACATTTAGTGGCTTTCACGCTGGTAAACTTTCACTGCCTTTTTACATTATACCTGTTTCAGAGGAATTTGCTTTGCAATTTATCAGTGAAATTGGTGAAATTGCTCCAATGGAGGATGGATTTGATATTCTCTATTCCATTTATAAGAATCATTATGACAATACTAATGTCATCGAAGCACTGTTGAAACCGATCAAGTCTGTACTTCAATATGGTAAGATAAATGAGTTTGTGTTTATGTTTTCTTATGGAAATTTATGGAATTAATACACTTATACTAACTTTAGGTCATAATAACAACAAAGGTTACCTTGTCAAGATACCAAAGAAGGGCGACTTAAGCCTCTGCAAGAACTGGCATGGAACAATGCTCTTGTCTACGCCAAGTAAAATACTAAGTCGCATCATCCTGAAGAGAATAAAAGATGAACTCGGCTAGCACGAAAGAAGTTGGATTCACGAAACACAAATCATGTGCTGATCAAATTGCAACTCTACGCATCGTCATCACAGAACAAAGCATAGAATGCCGGCAGTCAAACCTCTACTTCAGTTTCATCGATTTCGAAAAAGTCTTCGACAGACAGCGTCGACTGAGAAGTAATTTGGAAACTAATTCAACACTATGGATTGCAGTAGCCAAAGTTTTATCAACCTCATTCAACAGCTCACTATATGACAATGCCACATGTTAGATGGTCCGCAACGGAAAACTCAGGGAGGTGTTTCAAGTGAATGCAGGAGTAAGACAAAACAGACTGCCTATTATCAGCGATGATATTCTTAACTGTAGTGAACTGAATTATGCATCATACTGTGGGGAGTGAGAAGACAGGAATACTTTGGACCAATAAGAAGACTCTAGAAGATCTGGATTTCGCAGATGACATATGTCTAATGTCACGCAAACTCGAAGACTTGCAGGTGGAAACCAGCAAACTAGCTGAAGAAGCAGTGCAGTGTAAACAGGATTGCAGGCGAAAATATGAAAGAAGGAGGTGATGAAGATAACCAACGAACTGCAGCAACAATAACAACAATCAGCACCAATCACCATTGATGGGAGAGATTTAATTGAGGTTACCTCCTTCGCTTATCTAGGAAACATCATTTTAACTACATGAGGAACGTTTGAAGATGTCAAAGTCAGAATCGAAAGGCGAGATACCCCTTCATCAACCTGAAACCAGTTCGGAAATCTCCAAAACTCAGTCAACATAAACAACCATATTCGGATTTTCAACGCCAATGTCAAGTCGATCCTTCTATACGAGTTAGAAACTTGCACTGCTTGTTATGAAAAGGATTTCCGACAGGTTGCAGACTTTATCAACAGCTGCCTTCACCGGCTCCATATTGAAGATCAAATGGCCAGGGAGAAAGAATTAACAACAAGAAACTCTGGGGACAAACTAAACAAGAACCTATCGCTCAAGAAATATGCACGAGAAAATGGAGATGGATGGGGCGCACGTTGAGGAGACCGTCGAATGACATCGCGCGCAATGCAAGCCACTGCTCGAGTGAAATCCCAGTGGGAATCGACGAGTGGGTCGTTGGTGAGAGAGTGACATGGAGGAGATCGTGGGGCGAGGAGGAGATGAAAGTTTTTGGGCAATCGTGGACCCATATGAAGAGGACTGCAGAAAATAGAACAAAGTGCAGATGTGTTGCTGAAGCCCTATGTTGCACTAGGAACCCAGGGGAACAATAATAATAAATAACAACAATAGTTTTGAGGTTAATGTCTCAGCTTAATATCTATCTTTTTGATTTTGTTTTTATCATAGTTGTAGTTAGGTTAATTTAAAGTAGCGAATGGAGCAAGATGTTTGTCACTGGTGGTGTACAAGTGTATAGAATAATTTATTTGGTATAGCATACAGGATTACGATTAAATTGATATACTGAATACATTTCATACGCAATTTCTTGTTTATAGTTTTAGAGTTATGTGGTCACATAACTTTCTAACTTGAAACTGATGAAGTGAATAAACTGTATGCAAAACGACATCAGTTAAACAAATAATACTTCAGTACAAGCCAATCATTGCATTTTTCACTCCTCTAGGTGGATATTTTATTTAAAAAGCAGAGTTCAGAGTACTTAAGAATTCTAATTATTTTTACTTGCACCACTCTGATAACATGAGAGTTAGAATTTGAACGGCTGTTTCGTAAGCCATGTTGAGGTAATGAAACATAATTTGATTATTGGGAAAACATAACAAATGCTTGGAAGTTCATCTGATTTCAATAGAACTTGTCGACTCAGTATTCTACAAACACTGTTATTTATATTTTTTTGATTGGATACTAGTCAGTGACTAGTGTAATGTGTTTGTGTCTAGTCCCATCTTTGGCGCAAACTGAATTCTATCAGTCGAGTTTGTAATGTGGTCACTATTCTAGGTAGCTCACCATCGCGGTGCGCAGTGAATTATTGATATTGGATGGTTGGAGGAAATCGGCAAAAAGTCCTGCTTAATCCTAGGTTTTGTGCTAGTTGGCACTCACCAGTTAGCAAGGCGTATCTGCAACCTTGAAGGAACTCATGACCCTTATGAGGTTCGAACCCGCGTTACCCATCTCAGAAGGGTGATGAGTTCATTCAAAGTGGCAAATACGTCTTGCTAACTGGTGAGTGCTAACTAGCACGAAACCTAGGTGGAAGGCTTCCTGCTGATTACCTCCAACTATCTAATACTGCTATTTATAAATCGAATTCACAAGTCGCAAAATGATTGAGTGAAATTTCACTGCAGCTCCATACAGAAACCAAGTTATTTAAACCTGACTCACCTCTGATGAGCTTGGTCCCTAACGATGGGAACAGCAGTCCGGCGTTTAGATCACCTCTATCTGGCTAGCAAGAACCACTGGTTGATATTAGTGGTATGGAACTACTCATCTCAATCAATCAGTAATATATATTTTTATGCAAGGTGTTGTTTATATTGTGTGAAATATATAAAGAGATATATGAGTGATAAACAAACCACGATAAATCAATCATAACAAAACAAAAGGTCATGTTCAGATACGTAAATGGGGTGGAAAGGTACTAGAGATTGAAAACTAAGGTCATAATGGATTGTAGTCCAGTTACGTCGCTATAATGATAAATAATTCATGATTATAGACAGAATTTGATGACATTAAGAGTTGTACAACTGATAAAATGATAATCAAAGTAATGATAAAGTCAGTTAAGACAGAGGTTAAAGTATTTTTTCTCATAACGATACAAATGGTAGTTTTAATCAAGATGACAACAATTGCAATGAAATAGTTATAGCCACAGTTATTAAATTGAGAGATTTTATTATGGTCATTTCAAAACGACCACTGTTTCCTTTGTACACACCGACTTGGTTTGTCGATTCTAATCACACAAGCCTCAGAGACTGTGAGTATCTGCCTTTCTGTCTGTTTGTTTGTTTCTTTACTGACAACGGTGAGTGATTTGAATCTATTTACCTTCTGGCAAATAAATAAAACAAAGCTGAACTATGAATAAAATTGTTACCCTGATAAACATTTCACGTGCATTTCGTATTAAAATTCACATTTTAATTTACAAATTATTAAAACGTAACGTTGATTTCTTCTGTTTTACTATTTCATATTCTATAAGAGATAAAAAATGGTATTCTGTATATATTTCCATTAGATCTTTTAGGTTCTAATGACTGTTCAAAATTAAGACTACTACTTACATCTATTATGAGCAATAAAGATGAAGAACCGGTAAAAAGAAGTAGTTTGACTGCACTGGTTGCTTAGTTTTTGATATTTTGTTTGATAAGTAGTTATATATATATATATTTTTATATATATCCTAATTTACTAGGTTGGTGTTGCTTATATCATCTTTTCACATCACTTAAGGTCGTTAGTGTAACTGTAGTACTTGAGCAATGTGACAGAATTTAATTCCATATTAGATAAATTTATCTAAAATAACACACAGTAATGTATCAGCAATAACTGGATACCAAGAGTAATAAAGTGTACCATATGCCCGTACACATGTATGATCTTTGTCAAAAAGCACTTTTACGAAATTGCAGCAGTGTATCTATCGCCTGAAGTTTCTCAGCTGGATTTATTCTGATCCTTATAGGTGTTATATATATTTATATTCAAGTATTGGTTTTGTAGGGATTTTGTTTGATTGCATGGAGGATCTTATCATGAGCTGACATCAGTTAGAGAACCCCTGGAAAGCCTGGGAGTACTGGACAGCTGTTTCGTCCTAGTTTGGAACTCTTCATCAGTACGCACCCACCGGGGTTCGAACCCAGGACATTCTGGTTACAAGGTGAGCTCGGATACCATTAAGCCACTGGGATCCAATCCAATGGGCCATGAATTCTAACTTCTGCCAATTCACGACATAGCGTGACCATTTCGCAATGTCTTCTTCGATGAGCTACTGCCTCATCTTCAACCTGCTGTACCTCACTGGTCACGGCTTCCCACTAGAACCCCACGTTAATTGCCTGAATAGGGATTAGTTTTGGTTTTTTTTACGAGTTGATCACGGACTGATATCTAATTAACTAAATTTTCTTTATTACACTCATGCGTCTTAGAATTCAATCAGATTTTGTTCTCCTGTTTAGTCAGTTATGTTCGTTCGCTTAAGCTGACGTATTTCATTTGATGAATAACAGGGAAGTATGGACACTGTCATATTTTTTATGATCAATACCTGTAATCATCTCTAATTCCAAACTTTCCAGTGATTAGCATCTACTTAATGATCATAGTGAATCTATTTACAGTTTGCCCTTAGGAACTTAGACTAAACACTGTGAACACTGATTATCTTATGCTGACTTTATCTTAGTGATATATTTATGGTTATCATTATATACATAATGTTATGCATGTACATTTATGTACCCTTGGGATTGCTGTGTGTGACTGTTTAGATTTGCCATCAATGTTTATAATGTAGACATATATTACATATATGTTATGTAAAGACTGTTTTGTATGCTTTCATTGGTGAGGTATTGTATATTGTTGTTAGTGGATAAGGAAGTAATTGGTCAACAGTGATCAATTATACAGCATAGTAAACACTTTTTGTTTTAAAGGGAACACTTTCGTCTCTGGTTGTTTAACATATTCATATCTACTGGAGTGATTCATCACAGAAATAAACAACTGGTGTTAACGATATGTCTGATAGAGAAAACTTATAAGGATTATGTGTATGTATATATGTATATCATGCGATTCCGCTGGTAATTTGGTAGTTATTTCGCTTTGTTTATTCTTTTTTATCGGAGAATATAACTATCTATAATGGAGGATGAAAACAAAAAGACCGAATATTTTCATGTCTTGCTTAAGTTTTTGGTTTTGAATGTCAATAGTTTGTCGTTGTGATAATTCTCCGAACATATTACTAGTCATCACACACCGCCAATTCATTGAATTTCGTTAAAGGATAGTTAGGTATAGCTACAACTCACACTCCTTTGTTGTTAAATAATAGGATAAATACAACGCTATAGATTTTGGGATTTCATCATGAACTGACATTGGTGGGGACTTTTCAATAGTATGTACACACCGGGGTTCGGACCCAGGAACTTACGGTTGCCAGGTGAGCTTGTGGACTATTAAGCCATTGGGACCCGGCACAATGACCAGCCCATGAACTCCAACTTCTGCCAATTCACTATATAGAGTGGCCACTAGCCCATGTTATCGGCGAGTATTCGTCCTCACACATGACTTGCTGTACCCCACTGGTCATAACTTCCCACTAGAGCCCAGGAAACAACCTATGTGAATACGGACAGCCACTAATCAGCCTAATGCTCCTGTAAGCCAACACCTGAACATTATAGCTTCTGCTCAGATTACTAAACAAACACCTTATAATGGTACAGGTTCCAACTGTTTCTTATTCACGCAGAATAGCCACAACGCGGCTGAACATTATGTATTTATTTCCTTAGCAGTGGTACTAATTCCCGCTGAAATAATTTCACAAATCACTTGTGATAATTTCGAATTAACCTGGTACCAAAATATTCACCTGACACATGAATAAGAATTTCTCTAAAGCGATCAATACTAAACTGAAATACCTACCTGCAGTGAAAATATCTTGTACTAAAAATCAGATTATATTGGTAATAATGCTCAAAGCAACATTAACCATACGAAAGTATTCGTACTATGTTTTATCAGTGTACAGACTGAATTCATTGAATAAAAGCTTTGTGTCTTAAATAAGCTCTGTATTACCTATGGAATTCGCACAAAAATATGTTTTTTTAATTTAAATTATTCCATAGTGAATTCATTTGTCCCCCTGAAAAAGGAACCTGAGTAGAGAAAAAGCATTTTCGTTTATTCATGTATATTATAGATCAGTAACAACTGTGTCACTATGGTGAATATATCCAGCTCAGACTATCGATTTTGTGACAAATTTGTCACTCTCCATACTTTAGTTTTCGTTCACAGACCCTCGGGTTTTCTTCATTGCTAATTTCGGAGAAAATCATTCAATACAGCTTTTTCCTAAGTATTTCTTATAAAACTCTCCAGAGACTATTGGCTTGCTTTTATGGGTCAAACTATTTTTGACCTTTGATTATGGCATTGAATTTTTATTTCACATTGTGTAGTTGTCATTTTTGTGTCTTTAATACTAGGGCCAGGTTTGACCTTTAACCACTACGTTTAGATTGCATCTCTTTTCTTCGATTTCTCTAATGCTGAATTCCTGATGATCCGGTATTGGGAGTTCGGATCTGAAATGATTCGGTTTTCAGTCCTGAAGTTACTAAATAAGCATTTGAATGTCATGCCTTCAGGAAATCTTTTACATTCTTTTAAGTAACCTTTACCTAGAATGCTAAATTTTACTAATCAGACAGGCTACTTAAGTGTCTTCTGGTGTTCGAGGATGAGTTGTGTAACGTGGACCCCAACTATATCATGGTAGTAACTAGCATAATGTATGTAATGTATTTATTAAATTAAATTCGATGTTCTCCCCATGGTTGTTCAGTTTGTATTATTGCTTAGTATATATTTCAAAGGTTTCCTTCAGTTTTCGGAATACACCTCCTAGAAATGATAACAGCCTTCATGTTACTTTTGACAAATGAGCTCTTCTTGAAGAAGTAGTGGTTGTCGCTGTATCACTGAAAAGTTACGAAATTCAGTTAGGCCTATGAAATAGTTAAAAGAGTGTAGATAATGGGAGTGATTACAAATGGGAAGAATTGAATTACACTTTTCCCCACTCTGAATTCAGTGATCTAATTGTGTAACAATCACTGTCATTCTGGAAACTAACGTCACAAAGGTATGAGCCATAGAAACTGTGCATTTGTTTCATTAGCTTGTTCTGCTAACATCGCATATGATCCGTCGTTTTTATAGTTTGCGTTGTAATTGTCTCTACTTTCATCCTTGATAAAATATTCAACTTAAACTGTCTGGTAACTATTGACTGTATGATTAGCACTAACATGCATGTATAATATTCATAAATCTAACTTTTTTAGATTGAATAATAAATACTAGTTATTATATTTTCCTCATATAAGATGATATAATTGTGGCTGGTGCAATGCGTCATAGAGTAGTAAAATTACTACTGAATGACATTTCAAAACGTTTTGTTCATCAACAGGTAGTGGTATTGTTCGAATTTGTTTACAATAATTCTTTATTCAATTTTAATTAGTTTGCAAAATTAAAAGTACTTTTTGATTTAAAAAGAAATGAAGTTGTTGTTGTTGTTATTATTGTTGTTGTTAATACAGTTTCTGAATGAAATACTGCTTACAATATTTATTTTATTGTTTTGTGTTGGTGTTGGTGTTTTTCAAAGGTCATATTTATTCCAAACAACTGATGGTAGGCAGTCTTTTCGGTTATTCAATTAACACAAAGATTTCCTCTTTATTAGTCATTATTAAGTGATACTATGGGACAGTTGTCACCACTGTCTTTCTGACTGACCGATTATTCATTCACTGTTTGTTTCAGTGAATCCACAATGAACTTTTGTGTCACTAAGCACTAAGAAGCTTGTTTATGAAAGAAGTGTGACAAAAACACAACTTGAAATGCCTAACATACGGATTAAACTTTCACAGTACCATAATCTTTTGTCTAGTCGATTTAAATATTCAATAGGTTATTTTAATTTTGATGTTTCTACCATCTTCGCAGCAAATTTACTATTTTCAGGAAAAGAGTCAAAATCCAGTGGTCGACATTTCTAAGAATTTGTAGTTTATTCATGTAAAATAAGTAACAACTGCGTGGTATTTTCTGTCTTGGTTACTAGTTGTAAAATAATCTGTATAGGCAATCAAGCCAGTAGGTTTCCAAGAAAACCTAGAAAACTAGGGCTGCAGTTTTGATTGTTCATAAGGAACATTTCTGAAATATATAATTCTATTGAAACTGGCTTATAGTTTTCCTGTTGACTACTGTTTCGGTTCTAATCAGTGACGAATAATACATCTTAACGAGGCCATAAATGAATTATAGGAAGCATAATGTGAGGAGTGCATTACTAGATTAATACTTATGATGTTAATTCTAAAGTACTAAAAATAGGAGATCTCTGCTTGGAAAGATGATCAAAACACCTTACACAAAATAACATTGCCAACACAGATTTCATAGTAGACCGAGTGAGAATGTATACTTAATCTGGAGTGTCATCTATCCCAAATTAAATCTTCTAAGGTAGTGCTAACCATCGGCAGATATCCATCGAACAGCTGTTAGAAATCGGATAGTGTTGCACACCTGTTACTTCCTTGTAACAAGTTATGTTCATTAGAAAATAACAAATATTTTTTTAACACGGTATAGCACCAAACTCCAAAACACAATTTAAAAATTGTCCATTCCCTACATATTTGAAAGTGAACAGTCGAAATAGTCACAAAATATCACACAAATAAAGCGTTTCCTTTCGTTTGCATTCAGCAGTGTTTGCGAGTGTCTGTGATTTAAGTAGTGAATTTGTTGCATACTAATGTGCATTAATTTATCGGTGTATTTATTAGTTTCTTTATCCTTGTTTTTCTATTTCTGTTCAATAGAATCTTATTGAAAATGCTCGACTAACTCTGGCCAAACTTGAAAAACTTACTACATAAGAAAAGAAAAAGAAAATATGTAATTTCATGGAAATGTAATCTCCCTGTACGCATAACAACTATGGTTATGCAAGTGTCAGGAAATGAATTATACTAATAAATTTATTTTTAAGTAATTGACTTTAAAATATAAAAGTTTAATCTTGCTTTTCCACCTAAACATTTCTGTAGTGAAAATTTGTTGATTTTAACTGGGGGAAACTTCTAGTGTGCATAAATTCTATAAGCCAATGATCACTGCCTGAGTTCGTCCAAGATTCCAAGCTTCATAAGCACACACATGTCGAAGGAAATCCCAGAAGAACCAAAATGAACAGCAGTATGCGGGAGAAAGAATAAATACGTTGGTGGTGATGGGAATTCAGTGGATCTGAATGTCAGACAAAATAAATGCTTCTGCCCTATTAACTATAAACTTAAAAATGAAGACTATACTGTGGATTTGTCTGGTTTACAATGCGCATGAATTCAGAATATCTTTAAAATATGTGAGCAGGAAAACAAGGTTGAAGTGTCGACAATAATTTCATCGACTTATATGTTTAGGCACTATTTACAAAATCGATTACACGCTGTTAGGTGCTATTTTATTTTAGATTTTACTGCTTTGGAATTGTCATCTAAAACATCATTCATTTTGTATTCAATTACCAGCATACAACTGAAACACAGTTGTGAATATATTTCACCGAAATAATATTAGACCTGTAAATACGCAATAAGTACCAGAGAATACAATGGAATGAATAAAACTGCAATCGATAAATATCACTTACTTATATGCTTTCATAGTTCCCAGCCTACAAAATTTTTGGTGTTCACAGTGAATAAATCGAAATAATATATATTCAATAGGTTTTGTCTAAGAGAATTATTTTTCTGTTTTCGAATACCAACTGTATATATATGCAGTGACCTTTCTAAGGTGAAAAAAATAAAATGATATACTGACAGACATAAGTAGTATATGGAAACGTTCAAGTCAGTTGGAAAAGTGTGTTTACCAAGGAAAAAAGGTGAACTTCAATTAACTTATGTGTAACAAATATTCAGGTTTAGTTATACTTTTCCTTAAATATAGGGTGCGTGAAAAATAGTGGAAGAACTAACTGCATATGAGAATTCACCTATCCTAAACTCGTGAACTATTACCTGTATATCATACGATATTCAATAGAGTTAAATACAGAATCAGCTAATCAACTTATTAATTTAAAATAACAAAGACGTTAATAAGTACACAAACTGAAAACAAAATATCAATAGCATGTTTATTCACCATTCGAAGAGTCTGTGTAGAAAAAACAAAAACTGTGTTATTTACTGTAATTGTTTCGAATCGTAAATAAACTTGATTCAACTAACAGTTTGTAGTACTTTACATTTTGAGGCTTACAATTCAATGTAAACACATAAGGAATCTTCCGGAAGTGATATTCAGTTCGTTTGTTTAAAAAATGTAAATTGGCAAAAACAAACTTAGATTTGATTAAAGGTGATTTAGGTATCCATAAAAGAAATGCATCTAAACAGTTGTTAAAATATGAGGCTTAAAGATATTAATGTCAGCGAAAAGTTTGTGCATTGTGGCAGATATCATTGGTTGGAGTTTTCAGTCACATTTGAAAAAATAAAGACAAAAACAAATCATACATCCCTTACTACTTGGAAATCCCAATATTTAAAGTGCAAATATTAATGACATCTATTATTATTATTGTCAGTATTACTCCCTAGGGTTCCAAGTAGAAAAATGGACCTAAACGGAACTTAACCATTTCATTCTGTGCTCAGCAATCTTTTTCTAGCTGGTTACAATATCGCCCACAGACTTTCTTTTTCACCTGACATGATCTCCATCGCGTAACATTGGATGCCTAACTTGTTTCATTCCGTCCGGGTTCCAGTTATGGGCCTGTCACACGATTTCACCCAGCAGTCTGCTCAGAGTATAACCAATCCGTCTTTATTTCCTTCTGCATACTTCTTGGTTGGTTCCTTGCCAGAGTTCCTGGTTTATTATTCTATCTGGCAGGCAATCTGGTCTTCAGTATCGATCGAAGGTGGTGGCTTTTGATGATTGTCTGGAGCCTATTGGATGTAATTTTCAGGTGCGTACTCCAAGTTTATGAAACATAGAAGCACTGACTTATCATTTGTGTTCGAAATAAGAATGTTGTTCATTGTGGTGAGTAGTGCAGATCTCCACACTGATTTCATGATAATGAAGCAGCACCATGCTTTCGTCATTCGATCCTAAATGGCTTCGAAATTCCGATCCATGTCATCTGCCTAGGTAAGCAAAAGAATTGACCTCCTTCAAATTTGTTCTGTTGATAGTTATTAGTGCTTGTTATTGTTGGTTAAGTTGATATTAGATGGTTGAAGGCAATCAGTAGGAATACCTGCTTGAACCTAGGTTTCGTGCTAGTTGGCACTCATCTGCGAGGCATATCTTCAACCTCGAAGGAAGTCATGTACCTTCTGAGATTCGTACAAGCGTCACCCAGTGCTGCATCCAGAGACGTTACCATTGAGCTATTCAGGCTTGCAATTGAATTCCTGTGGGGCTATATTGAATATTTTTGATTGGACACGAGTCAGTAACTAGTGTAATAAGTTTGTGCTCAGTCCTATCTTTGGTACAGACTGAATTCTATCAGTCATGTTTGTAATGTATCTTCATAACTTATTTCTTCGCTATGTTCACTTGAAGTCCTCTATTCGCTGTCTTATCAACCAAATTATTGGTTTTCGGCTGTGTGTGACACTAGACATTTACAGTTGGCAAAGTCCAAATATTCTACAGTCTTCTTGTTTGCCCAAAGTATGCCTTTCATCTCACTATTTACAGTCCGCCTCACGATTCAATCTACGGCACTCAAGAATAGCATCAGTGATGGTAAGCAACCTTGTATTACTCCTGTCTTCACTTCAAATTCTTCATTGAATTTTCCGTTTTAAGTCACCTGACATGTCACACCATCACATAGCCGTGAAATGACGTGTATAGAAGTTTATGGCACTATACTCTATAGCGTTGAAGCAGCTTTCAAACAAATTTACGGTCAAATCTATCAAAGGTTTTTATAGAATAGATGAAGCTCAGGTAAACAGTTGACCGCTTTTCTGTGCTCTGTTCGATGATGATGCGAAGCGTTGTAATTTGATCTACACGTGATTTCTTTTTTCTGAATCCACCTTGTCTCTGGAGCACAATGCCTCCGAAGCATGTTGTAGTCTCTGCATGATAATGTGGCCTAATATTTTTCTTGATATGGACAGGAGCATGATTTCGCGTCAGTTTTTGCAAAAGCCTACGTCGTCCTTCTTTAGGAGTTTGACAAAGTAACCTTGCTCCCAAACCTTTTGCAATAATGGCTAGAGCACATCCATCGAAGTTTCTGGATCCGCCTTCAGTGGTTCGGAAGGATTTCCGCCTGATTTTGCCGCTTTCTTGGCTGCATTTCATAACTTTATTGTAATCAGTAACTCTGTTTTTGTCGGAGGTTGTGTGTTTACTGGCAGTTCTGTGGCTTTTGGTAGTGCTCCTGGACGACTTGCAGGTGGTGGTCGGTTCAAGAGTCCTTTAGAAAGATAACCCCGGCGTTTCATTAGTTCCCCTTCTTTAGTAACTAGGTTTCCTTTATTATCTTTTATTGGTTTTACCCACTTTGATCTTTCTTCAGATGGCGATCTGGTTATTTGAAATACTATTCTGAGGTTTGTTTTACCTACGGCCTATTCTGCTTCAGTCTCCAGTGTGTCGTAGGATTGTGTTTTGTCTTTCTTCACACTCCTTTTCACTTCTTTATTCAGTGCTACGCAGACTGTACAGTTTTTTCTCCCATTGATCACCTCTGCATTGGTTCATTTTCTGTTTCATTATCCTTCTCTCCTCTGTGAGCTTCCAAGTGTCTGCAGAGAGCTATTCTTTGTCTTGCCTCTTCCTTCTTCCCAAGGTGGCAATACATGTTTCCCTTAGCATCATTTTCAGAGCATTTCGGTGTTCTTCTGCGCAGGTTTCCTTGGTGATGCTGCATAATGTCTCCGATTTCACTCTGATAGTTGCAGTAAATTTATCTTTTGCAGTTTCGCCCTTCTGCTTCTCACTACTGAAGTTGAATTCTGGTCTATCTATCTCCAGGCTCTTTGAAGGCATTCAGCTTTACCTTGAAAGTTCCTTGCACTATATAATGGTCTGAAATCATATCTGCTCCTCTTCTTGATTGATATAAGTATAAAACGTGGGCACTGTGGTAGAGTATAACTCCATTATAAATAAGATTTTATTTTGATAAGTCACACAGTGTTATACAGTAATGTTAACTGATGACGTTTCGAGAACAAACTATTGCTAACAATCATATCAAGCTACTCACACAACTTTTTCCTTCATTTATATACATGTGTGGAACTGACCAGATATTTGAATAAAAATCCATATGTGATAATGTACATTCAGAAATAATAATATGAGTGTTATTGATCAATGACAATCAGATGGGAAGTAAGGCAGGTGTTTTTATAGTGTCGTGTCCAGTAGGCTTCGTCTCCACTTTCTTGAGACTGAGATGAAATCTCTGTGATTTTCATTGTGTCCATATAGTGAAACCCATTTTGCTCTGTGTATGTTTTCTTCCTTGAATGTACTGAAGTCTGAGAAGAGTTCTCCGTCCCCATTCATTTCGCCTAGAATCTCCCAACCCATGAAGGGCTTTGGTGCTTTCACCCGGTTGGGATCTTTTTCATTAATTCTCTTTGTAGAATTCATTCTTCTTCTCTTGATATGCGATGTTTGTAGGAGCTTAGTACTAGGTAACTGTAACTATCTCACCCTCTAAATTGAATCTTGCTGTCATTTTGCTGAAGGAGATTGGTACTCTTGACTTAAGAGCTTTGGATGCTGCTGGTGACATCATGGCAACAAATTCTTAATGTGTTCGTGGTTGTC